CTCTCTCTCTCTCTCTCTCTCTCTCTCTCTCTCTCTCTCTCTCTCTCTCCTCTCTTTCTCTCTCTCCTCTCTTTCTCTCTCTCTGTTTAGGCGCTTTTCCAACTCATATTCCACTCTCTCTGCCCCTGTACTTCTCACCTTCACCGTTTCTCTGTCTCTCATCCTGGGGCTAACGATTGTGAAATACTTGACACTCAGTAAAGTGGAAAAAAGTTTCGGACCTGGGCCTTTCTTCTTCGCTCTGCCACGCGCATCCGGCGAAGGTCGGCGTGATCTTGAGGAAGCGGTCCCGGTGATTCTCTCGTGTCGCCCTGCTCGCCTTCACTATCCGAAGCATCGTCGTGTTCTCCAAGCTGCATGGTATACCCCGCCGTACGCAAAAACCGTACATGCGGTGAGCCAAGCCAGAGAGGATGGTACGTGTTTAGGGTACGCGAGTCGAACAACGAACGGGGGATCATTACGGGCTGTAAAAGGGATAGCGCTTGGGCAACAAATGAAACAATGATGACAACGGAGACGTTTAAACTCATAAATCCATATCGAATATACAACAGAGAGCAGAAACTTTCTTTTTCCGTTTTTTTTGTTGGGTGGGGTACAGGTCATGCATGGCCCCATGGATTGACTTCACGCGGTCATTCTCACACATCCTCCAAAGCCAGGACGGGGCATGCGTGGTTTCGCCGACCAAGCAAGCACTACACCAGGTGCGAAACATCGTTCAGTCTCGCAGCGAGGGCACCGGTAGGAGTGCTGCACCTCATTAAAATCTGAACATAGCCGTTGGGGGAAAGGAGTGTACCCGTCATCACGTTCAGCCGTCGTGCTAAGACGATCGAGCTTCGCGCCCTTGCAGAGTCCAAAGGGGCGAGCGGAACGTACTTGTGAAAGCGTGCTTCGTGTGCAGACGCACCTCGATTTGCTCTCTGTTCTCGTCCAGTTCTTCCTCGTCTTCTTGGTCGTCTCTGGCGAGGGGTGGCTCTCGGCCGTCAGGCCTCACGTCTGCTAGCGGTATCCCCAGCCGCCAGGCCAGCGCCTCCAGCAGCTTCTCGTTACCGGCTAGGCGGGTAACCGCCAGGGAGAGCTGCTCTTCTTCGGTGAGCTGCCGAGGGGTTGCGTCGCCGACATGCCCTCCTCCGTTGTTAGTGTAACCGCCACCTGGTTGGTCTTGGTCAAACCCTAGTGTGCGCAAGCTGCGTGCGTGTTGGCACGAAAAGTTCCAAGAGGAAAAACAAGATGCCGAAGGGATTTCGGATGTTGAGTTCAGGGTCGGTCAGCCAAGGAGTTCTTGTAATCCTGATTATTGCGATCATATCGTGTTCTGTGTAAGCTTTTGTCATTATCAAGCCATAGGTGTTGGGCCTAGATAGAACAGGATGCGCGGGGGGGAGAATTGGTCATGCTCACACCTTCGCTATTTGAACACGTCAGTGTTGGGAATGTGGCAATCACTAACTGTCGAATCCATCCGAAGCGAGCAGGAAACCAGGAAAAAGCGCTAGGAATGCGTAAACACTTAAGGTTTTCCCCAAACCTTCATGTTTTCGAGGCCCCAAACAAGCTAGGCAGATTCACGCATACACATATCAAGTAGCGTCCACTGCATAGAATCTAGCGTGCTTTTTGCGTCTTGCGTATTTTCTTCCACGGAGCGGGTTATGTTCAACCACTGGGAATGGTGAAGCCTCCCGCAACGGCCGGAGGACCCCTCGGAACGAAGCTCCCCCGCCAGCGCCGAGGGTGATTTCTAGTGTATATGTACTCTTCGTCGGTGAGATTCACTTAGCTTTTTAATTGTATTGGATGTGACTAGACCTCTTGCGGCATCGCATTGGATGTGAAGAAACCCGGCGGCCGGTGGTCCTGCCCAATCATCGTGTCGTTGAATCTATTATTGTCGGTTGTGTTAGGCCCGCATTAAGCCTTACGTTTCATTGCTGAACCTTTTAGGAGCATGTAAAATCAAGCCGCAAGAGCCGGCGATCTGAAGCACAGACAACACCTACCTCCACAGTTGCTCCGCGAGAGGACCTTCGGGTGCAAGACTACCCCCAGGCCCTGTTGAGCTCTCCCCTCCCAACGATGGTTCCCCTTCTGCGGTAGCGGATCCCTCCAATGCCAACACTGACGGGTCCGACTCGCCCCAGCACTCGGGAGGGTCCCAGCTAACATGGTGGTTGGGTACGTGTTGGAAGAGAGGTGACGGGTTTTCCGGCGGTATTGAAAACAGTGGCCGGTTGATGTCGGCGGATAACCGAGAGGAAATTTTCGAGGGAGGAGGGTGATCATGCTCGGAGAAACCTACCATGTGCCACGTGGCGCTTGTCTTTTGGCATTCTCAAGCGACGTTTGCAAGAAGGGGTTGAACCGCTCGCTATTGAAATAGCCCCTTCCAAAGAAGAAAACCAGTGTGTGCGGGCAACCTGATTGAAGCGAGACCCGTGCGTTCGACGTACATACGCATAGCTCACGACAAAAACCTGCGCTCGTGGTTGGCGCACGATTGATCTCCCGCACGAAGAAATTTGCATGAAAAATAACACTTTGGCACCAGTTCGTTCCCTGCCGTAACGTGCGTGTTTCACGCGAGCAACCCCCCTCCGCGGTCGAGAGCCATCAGTACTTACGTCAGGGGCATATCAAAAACGTGGCACACAACTCGCCCTCTCGCTGTTCCACGTTAGTTACTGTTCTGTCGCGGCCGCACAGTACACTCGTGCTCGCGATCACACACGTCCTGATGTAAAAGTCCCACCTGAAGGGTTCCGGGAGGCCCTCTTCAGACTTGCAGAAGTAGAACACGCTGCCCCCTAAGTCCTTGCGCTGCTCCCAAGGCCCCCGACTTTCCACGACGTGCGAGTCTTGCATCCGCAGCTCCCACTTGTGGCGGCTTCGATCCGCCCCGGCGGATATTTTAAGGTGTTGGGCGTCCGTCTGATGTGTGCACAGTGGGAAGGAAGCATACATGTTTGATTAAGAGACAGAGATAAGCTCGAACCGTCTAGACACCCAGTATAGTTCAATACGTTTCACTCATCATGTGGAATGCGGGTCGGGTTGCGTCAATCACCACCATCGCTATCATCACCGTCGCCACCAACAGCAGAACGTTAACAGCAGCAGTAGCCTCAGGAAACAACAGCGACCAAGTTGCAAGAACGGCCTCAAGGACACGCACCTTTCGCGCCAACGAGCGAGTGGCGGCATCCTCCCTAGCTCTCCGGTCCGCCAGCTTTGCCTTGCCAATTTCCACCTTGGCCTGTTGTTCATGTTTCACAAGCAACCCGCCGTCGAAGGCAATAGTGTGTCGAGACAATCGCGTCTAAGTAACATACAATCCTTTCCGCTCCCTAGAGAGCACCAAGATAATGTCGACTCCAATAGGGCCCGGTTAGTTTGCGGAGCGGTAAACGTTTCGCGGCAAGAAACGACGTGCAAATGGAAAACCGAAACGTAGGCCCCTTCTCAACGGTGAACAGGCTCCACCTATTAGCGTGGTTCTTGAGCCGTTCGCCGTAAACAAGACACAACCGACGAGCTTGGAGGCTGGTACCTCCTGTTAGAGGTGGTATGCGAAAAGTGGGGGATGCCGGGTGCACGTGGGAAGCATGTTGGAGTGGCCTATACCTGTAGGGCGGCATCTTTGGCCTGCCGTTCCCTCTCGACCGCCACCCTGGCCATCTCGGCGTTGTAGCGCTCCAGGCCCGTGCGCAGTAGGGCGGCCATCCGCTCGTGCTTGCACGACACGGAGTAGCTTCCGGGATCGCTCGGGCCGCGGTGTTGGTCATTCGCAGAAACGTACGCGTAGTCCTTGGCGGTCCTCTAACCTCCACGATACATCACGATGTGAATAAGTTGGGGCATTCATGAGCTGAAAGATAAGGGACACAGTTGGATTATTCAACACCTGCTTGACATGTTGGTGCCTTGGGTCACCGTTGGAAAAGCACTCCAACAACATCATATTGTGTGTTCAAAGGCATAAATAGGAAAAAGTGAGTGACGGCTGTGTTTCTTGACAGACAACGACAGAGTGAACATGCACCTCGAAACCATTCTGCTTTCTTTGTCATTTCGTAGAGCCGTTTGTGCCTCTGTCTTGCGCAATCGCCATCCTCATTTCCCATAATTTCACGAAGTAATGTTGTGCGGTAGGTTCCATTCTACCTGTCTGCAGAGCTGCTCCGTGCACCGCTGCTCAGAGTGAAAGGTGCTGCGTCCACACACCGCCGCGGTGTTGGGCAAAGCCGCCCGTTTGGTGACCCCGAACCCCAGGGTCTGCATGTACCCGTCGGGCTCCAAAAGTTGATAGACAGCATACCTGTCGAGTTGGAAAACCGTTTTTTTTTGGAGCGGGCGGAATGAAAGCGCCGGGGGGCTCAACCGTTGGAGTTCTCAAGCATGGTACAGAAAGGAGGGGCGTCTGAACGGCGGGTTGAAGGTATGTTTCCGACAATCGCCCACCCCATTCTTCGCACCTTCTAAACCCCTTCTTGTCCACCTCTTTCCAGTCTCTGCGATGTCGGACCGATTCTTTCTCTTTCCCGGCCTTGCGGCTACGCTTCACTGCCGCCCCGCCCCCACCTCTCCTGTCCCCCGCCAAGGCCTCCGGCGGAGAAAAATCGACCTTCTTTTCCGCTTTGGTAAGGACGATGGCGTCCGGCGCGATGTGGCCGCCGAGGTCGGAAACGACCCCTTCCTCAAGAACCACTCCCGGCGGGATCATGACTCGGGGCACGACATCCAGGGTGTCCTATTGTCGAAAGGGTTTTTCATTGCGGGATGGGGGCGGCGGGCGAGTAGTTAGATATTGTTGTACATTCACGTATGTGGCGCTGGATAGCGTTCGAGCAATGCCACGGTAGGGGGAACACTTTATAAGACATGGGTCACATGCTGTCGCCCGACAAGGTCCATATAAATGCTCGTAACTCTCTCAATTTTGCATTTCAAGGAAATCAATTCTGCCCAGGCAGCCGCCTGGCGTATATCTCGCGGTGTGCAAAACAATAAGCATTTTTTCCATTGGTTGAGGCAGTACACACCAGTCCGCCAAAACACTCCATGTGACCGAGGGGGTACCCCCTATCGAAGCATCCCTCGTTCATGGTTTGAATGGTGTTGTGAGGTGCCATCACTCGCGTCGTGAACTGCGCGTGGGTCTAGACATCTTGCTGCCTGTAGATCGAGCATGGTATTCTGAAACATTCACATCACCCGTGGCACGTTATCAAGGGCTTTGATCTTGGTTGGGAAAATAGCGAAGTGAGACGATATATCAAACATTTATTTACATATTAGCTTGTGCTTTCTTTTGCGAAAGCATTCATCGAAGGTCCAGAAAACGATGATAGTCATCCCGCCCACTCTCAACAAATTGTTGCGCGTTACGAGGAGAAAGCTTGTACGCTCAGCGTGAGAACGGGCTACATGGACAGAACAAGCTTCTTCATTTGTTTGCGATGACACACGTCGTGACGCACGACAACAAGACCCCGGTTTTTGAACCGCGTTTTTCTTCGGTACCTCGTCGGGAGCGGGTTCCGGCTCGAACGGCTCTCGCTCCCACGCGATCACCAGAGGAGTGAGCTTCGGCGTGTCCAGGGCGAGCGCGACCACCACCATTACCGAGTCGCTTGAGGACTTGGACGCGTCGCGGAAAAACGATGCGACAGCTCTTGTGCGCTCGGGCGCCTGAAAAGAGAGTTACGATTAAGTCATCAATATTCTTGTTAAGTACCAGCTGCGTTCGCGAGAGAAACAATTTCACTTGCAAAACTTCAGGGCGTTGGGCCTTGTGTGTGGGAGGAGGAAGGAGGAGGGAGGAGGAGGGGGGGGGG